AAGAGACACGTGAAACTCCTGGAGCACTCTCAACAGAAGCTTGCACAAAGAACTAGTTCGTATGAACTTGTATTGAAAGTTGATTGATAATTGAATGAGTTACAATGAGGAACTCAGCCTCTTATTTATAGACTAGCTAACACAAATCCAAAGCTTAAAATGAAAAACAAATCCTACAAGTAAAAGGAAAAAACACAATCCTTAAAAGACAAGTAAAAGGAAAACACAATCCTTAAAAGACAAGTAAAAGACTTGGTCAACAACTCCCTAGATTCTAGCCTTGCAATCCTCCCTCACATGGCTTGTGTTCACACCTGATATTCCTTTCACACTTGTACTCCTTTTCACACCTTGTGTTCACACCATGGGAGATCTTCCTTCCTTCTACCAAGCCCATCTTCTCTTCATTCTAGTCCATAAATCGTAGCAATGTGATGGACTTTCCTTCTAGCAAGTCCACGTCCATCAAGAATGATCTCATTTGATCCTTGTATCGTCGTACTCGGACCTTCATCTTTGGACCATGAGAATTATATATTCTGCCAATGGATTTCACATCAACAAACTCGTAGGCCTTGCTTGAAATGACCTTTTCTTCCACCTTGAATGCTTCCAAGCTCTCTTTAAACCTCTTAAATCGTCTCTTGAACCATGGTCCATGTAGATATCTAGTTTGAGCTTGTGTGACGTCATGCGGGGTGAGCGGGGTCGCATCAGTCGAGGTAAGCTTCAGGGTCACTTCTCCCTTGGAATGATGGCACCTTCACCTTTAGTCCCCTCATATCATCATCCCTATGCTGGGGATACTCTTCCTCCTCGTAGTACTCTTCATAGTCATGTGGTTCGGGAGCTCTGCGAGTGTGAACTAGGGGTCTTCCTCCTTGACCTCTAACTCCTCGTCCTCGTAGAGGTATGAGATTGTTGGGACCCAGAGGTTGGCCTCGCCTTCCACCCGGTGGTGGTGGTGGTGGTGGAAAATCGTCCTCCTCCTCGGGGTGGAGGTTGATAGCTTGGGCCATTTCATCGAGGCGAGCGTTAATCTGATCCTGCTGGCCTTGCATCATCCGGGTAAGGCGTCCCATAAAAGCATCCATGGTAGCTTGTGGAATGCCTTCCAAGTTCTAGACTTCCTGATTGTTGCGAATTTCTCCTTCTCCTGCCATTTAGTTCAGATACTCGAAACAAGAAGTTATCCGTCAATACTTAAAGTCTCATATTAATGGTACAAACAAAGGACCTCACAAGTCACTCCCTCACGTGTTTGCACTCGGATGAGATCACTCGTTTTCTTACCACTCGTGTTTCACTCACCAGAATTGGCTTTTACCCGATATTGAACTCACGAAGCCTCTTTCCACTCGCTCTCAGAAATCCTAGAGGAGCTTCTTAGTCAACAAGTAGAACAAGCAATAAACAGTAGCTCGAGTCACAAAAAAAATCTCAAGAACCCAACTAACACAATCAAGACTCGACCAAGAATGCGCAAAATTTGATAAAGACACAAACTTGCGTGATCTGGCTTCTGTTCCTGTCTTTTCTGAGTTGTTCTTTCTGATTTTTAAGCTCGTTTAGTTTTCTTTTTTTTTTGTATTTTCTAGAACGACTTTTTCCAACAGATGCACGTTACAATCAAGAATGAAGTTAAACAATCAAGAAACAAAAATAACCTTTCTTGGCAACTTTAAGAACACAAAACCTGTTTGGTTGATTTTCGCATAAGAAAGGAGGGATACGTATGCCACTGTGTTTGAACCGGAGCTCTGATACCACCTGATATAAGCCGAGGCTCTAACTCCTGGACTTAAACAATCAGAATACGCAGCAAAGATCGATTAGCAAAACAAAGAGCAAAAGGGGCGGAAAATAACTCAAATCAAAGCCACAATTGGGCAGAGGGCCAAGTATACGAAGTGACTCCACAACTAGGGTGATGAGCTAGTTGATAACGTCGGTTTCTTCTAGACGGCTCGATTTCACGAACGGACTAAGAAGGATAAAAGAGTTTCAAGAGTGAAATCTCAAATAAGGGTTTTTCATTGATCAAAGGTTGCTTTTGCCCGTAGGCATAACATCCTCTATTTATAGAGGTTACAAGATTAAGAAGGAAACTAATAGGAGTTAAAGAAGGAAACAAATATCCAAAAGATTCTAACATATTGTTTTTAATGCTAATGGGAGATTCTTAGCCACTAATTATTCCCTTTCCATGTTTGGCCAACTTGGGCATCAAGAATGTCCTTCTTTCTCCCCTTTCCCTTGCCTTTCCATGTGTGGCCAACTTGGGCATCAAGAATATCCTTCTTTCTCATCTTGGACGTGGATGACATTGACCTCCTGGCCCATGAACGAATTCGACTCCAAAGATGGAAAATGCTATGCCAAATAAGCTTGAAGTCGACCTTTGAATGCCTTGGCTTGACTTCTAGTGATTGGACCACGTTCCTCTTGCACCAAAGTTGGACTTGTGATCGCCTTGGTGTTGATGTCCTCATCAACTGGGTATGCCACACAGCCGTGTGGCCTGCCCGTGTGATCGGGATTTTCAGGTTTTTACCCAATTTCAGGCCACAAGTGAGAGAATCGGATTTTCAGAGCAAAAACAGAGTTTTAGAGAGAGAAAGAGCGAAGAACAAAGCCTAGGAGCTATTTGGAGTGGATTTCTCACCATTGAAGCCCATATTGCGTCCCCATCTCTATGAGTATGACTACTCTGATTTCTGTTTTCCTCTCTCTCTCTATGGAGTAGAACCCTTCTCTCACTTGGGTATGAAGAACTCTAGTTCCATGTGTTAGGGATTTGATTGTAATGACTTGGGATGATTATACTGTTTGGTTTTAATCGAATGATGCATGTTTTATTGAATTGATTGAAGTCTGATCAGCTTTTCTTGATTTCTGCTGCAACCTGAGATAGATAGAATCTGATTAGGTTGTTAGAGCTTCTTCACTCGATAGTAGGAGATTGGTTATACGAGAGTTAGCCAGTTTACTGCTTTGTACTGGAATCCAATTCCAGTAGTGGAGTTCTGTGCTCATTGCTTCAGCTTTCTGTCCCGGTGAAGACTGAAGACTAGTCGTCTGCCGGGTAGTTAGACTGAGAGAGCTTGGTCAGCTTAAGAGATTCCAAGCTACTGTCGGATCTTCCGCAGTCTAATCAACAGTAAATCAACCCAGGGTAATTACAATTGAACCTAACTAAGGAGCTAGGGGGACTCATTTCCCGAGTGACTCTTCTTTGCTTGAGAAAACCGAACCATTTCCTGCTTTTTACTGCTTTTACTTTAAACAACAATCACTCGACTTAGTTGGCTAGATAATAGATAATAACGGAGTAGCAGTAGATCTAGACCCTGGGTTGATAATAGAACTTGCCTGTTACTGCATTCCCGGACTGCGATTACACTTGGTCGCAGTTTGGTGTTGTGTTTTGGCGTGTCAGCGGCCCTCACAGTAACCTCCGTTAGGCTTTCCAACGACGTCGTCATCGCGTCATACTTGCTTGTTGTCACATCCTTGATCGTCACGATCTCCTTGTTCTTGCGCGGCAGTTGCTATTTGTCCGTAGGGCTTGTCATCTTCGGATTACAGTACTTCTTCAGAAAATCGGCACACCAGTTAGGCTCTGATACCACTGAAAGAGCACGGATCTAGGTGTGTGATTTAGGGATTGGATTAGTACGCGAATTGAGAATTTAGATGGGATAGAATGGGAATTAGGGTTGAGGGAAGAAGAGGTCGGGACACCAAGGTGGTGGCTGACGGTTTGAGGGAGGAGGAAGAGGGGTCGACGGTTGAGAGAGAGAAGAATTTAGGGAATAATTGTGTTGTTATTGCTTAACCCTAACTTATGTCTAACACAGAATATATATATAAATCGACTAATTCTCTATAACTACCCAAAGACTTAACCTAACCGATTTGACCCCAATAAATCCCTCCAGCATGACACTGCAGGTCTGGTAGCTAGGTTATATATACTTACTTATCATCTCTTCAAAGTTCAAACAATTTGAATGGTCTTATCCTTGAACCGAGAAAGCAATTTGGAAACAAGGCCATGAGATGAGATACCAGCTGAATGGTCTTATTACATCAGTCATCCCCCCATAACAGATACTTTGGCTACCAGGTAGTTACGATCAGACCCAGACGGGTTGGCTGACCCATAACCTTCTTGCTCCTGTTGATGAAATGCAATACTATTCAACTGTGAAGATCCATAGCCAAATGCAGAAAGGACACAGTGATTCAACTTACAGACAGGGATTTGAGACTGTCTCGGAAACTTCCCAAGGAGCAACATGAGACAGTAGGAAATTGGCCGCTGAATCTATTTATCGAACCAAAAATCTAAACCTTGATTCAGTTGACAGTATAAAATCATGCACAAGAAGACTTCTGACGGGGGCTTACTGTTGCTTGCGCGTAAAGAAGACTTCTGACTGACTGGTGTTTGATGTTCAGGCGGATGCCATAAATTCAATCTTGTCATATGAAACTGGAGATGCTAAAGTTGGGGCTTTGGATCAGAAACGTGAAGAGCTTTGTGATTGTGGAGCAGGTGAGTGAGGCATGTGAAAAAGTAGTTTCATAGTTGCATGTGAAGTTAAGGGGGTTGTTGGACTCTGTGATCCTTGATTGGATGTGCTGAGAGTGGATGGGCTTCTTCTTTTTTTCCCTTCCGAAATAGACAGTCCAAAGATAAGGGTTCCATTCCAAGGCATCTTCTCAAAGTATTTCATCAAGCTCTTCTTACAGTATTGGCCATTGGGGCTCCATTGGTGATGCATTCAAGGGATGTATATTTCATCAACCGATTTTCAAGTTCGAGATGTAAATTATCTTTTTGAAAGTACGGGGGATTGGAATTACCTTTTCTCGAAAAGGAACCTTGAGGTTTTGGACGAGGAAGGATGGATTGAGTCAGTTTTTCAAGCCTTTCTGGCAGAATTTGTTGCCCAATTTCCGGTCACTATGCCGCCAACTCAAATGAGCACTTCGAGATTTTCAGGCCAACATTGAAGAACCATACCTGTGTTACGTTATCCTTCCGGCCCATAAATTGGGTTACAGAAACCGACAGATAATTGACAACGTCGACTAGTCGATCAATTCAATACAACACATACCTCGATGATATCCAAATTAAACACCTCTACCGACTACCGAGGTAGTTTTGGCTTGGAGCCAAACGTCCATTTCACTATTTCACAATGACGAGTATTCGATAACATATAAGGCCGTCACTAAATAACAAAACGACCAACAACCAAATGCACCCCTCTATAGACCAAGCCAGTAAAACCAGGAAACCTCAATGGCAGTGAAAGCTTTGCCATGAAAACGAAGACACTTCCCTGCTGAGCTTTGATTAACAAAGCTTTTATCTGATACATGAACCAGAACCATAACCATAAACATTTATACTGGTACCAGCAAAGTCAAAATTCAGAATTCAACTAAATCCTTATTCCATAGTCAAAAGGGTTCCTCCCGAAACAGCTATGATATGATACCCAACTGTATCTCTAAAACTCTGGGAAAAAGAAAACCACATCAACAACCCACCACCCTCATCAACATGAAAAAAGAAAATCAACAGGAGCTCAGCCCTTCCATTCCAATCCTTCCTTGATCTCTTATCTCCCAATTTACACGGTCTTGGCGATGTGGCAGATCAGGTCAACAACACGGGTGCTGCAAAATTGGCAAGTAGCAACAAATCAGAACACAGGTCGCCCTAAGGAGAGAAAAAAAAAACAAGAGGAAATGATAACTTAATCTGGTTCATGTCGTACCTGTAGCCCCACTCGTTGTCATACCACGACACGAGCTTGACAAAGTTGTCGTTCAATGCAATTCCGGCCTTGGCATCAAAGATGCTTGACCTGCTGTCACCGAGGAAATCAGCAGACACAACATCCTCATCAACGTATCCCAAGATGCCCTTGAGATTACCCTCAGACTCCTCCCTGTAATATATAATCAACACCCGTTGTTAGTGACAAATGAATTCAGGCTCTAGCACAAGCCAACAAGTGAAAGGATCCAATTCGGGAAGCTTTACTTGATGGCAGCCTTGATTTGCTCGTATGTTGCTGCCTTTGCAATTTTGACAGTCAGGTCGACCACTGAGACATCAGCAGTTGGGACACGGAAGGCCATACCAGTCAACTTTCCATTCAGTTCTGGGAGAACCTTGCCAACAGCCTGATAGACCACAATTATTATGCCATTTAGCTTCAACTCACTGCTTACTCACTGCTTAAAAAACATTATGAAACGAAGAAATGGATGGATACATACCTTGGCAGCTCCAGTGCTGCTGGGAATGATGTTGAAGGAAGCAGCTCTTCCACCCCTCCAGTCCTTGTTTGATGGACCATCAACGGTCTTTTGGGTGGCTGAAATATTACAAATACACATCATTAAACACTAAAGACTACAGCACCCTGATTAACACCACAAATGCAGACAGAGATTATTCAAAAGCTTACCAGTAATGGCATGGACGGTGGTCATGAGTCCCTCAACGATTCCGAACCTGTCGTTGATAACCTGACACATAACAAAAGAATCAACCAACATCAGCAAAACATATACCCCAACTACAATTCTTCATTGAAAACCACACTAGGATGACTGCAAGGCTTACCTTGGCCAAGGGAGCAAGGCAGTTGGTTGTGCAGCTAGCATTAGAGACAATGTTAAGCTCGGGCTTGTATTCCTTCTCGTTGACACCAACAACGAACATAGGTGCATCTTTGCTTGGGGCAGAGATGATAACCTTCTTGGCACCACCCTGAACCAAAAGAATCATTGACATATTAAGACTCAACCAAACAGCAATTCAACGAGTCATAATCAAGATATCAACTAAGATAACCACCCAATGGCTAGACAACCAAAAAATGTAAAAAAGAAACAACCCAAAACAGCACGGACAGAAGGACCAGGTGAAGTCAAAGCTAGTCAACACTACTCATAGTTGGACAATGTAAAGATCACAGTCCAAGAACAAACAGATCTTCAATTCTAAGAAAGCTACAACACCACTCAACAAAACCTACTTGCAGATCAATCAACGCAAAAAAAAAAAAAAAAAAAAAAGATAAAAAGGGGAAATCAAGCAGCAAACAAACCTTCAAGTGAGCAGCAGCTTTGTCCTTGTCAGTGAAGACACCAGTGGACTCAACAACGAAGTCAGCACCAACAGATGCCCATGGGATCTCCTCCGGGTTCCTGCAAATCCACAATTATCATCAACAAATCAAAACCACCAACCCTCCAAAACCCCTAATCCAGAACTCAGAAAAACCCGCCAAAGCAAAAGATCACACAAGCTTCATCTTCACCTACCTGAGACCGAAAACCTTAACTTCCTTGTCGCCGAAGAGAAGGGTGGACTCATCCTTCACCTTCACATCAGAGTGCTTCCACCCACCATGGACGGTATCATACTTGAACATGTAGGTCTGAAATTATCACACATAAGAGTTTCAGAATCCCCAAGTCAACAGATCAATCCACGCAATTTCCACTCCCAAGTCGAAGTCAAACTACAGGTATCAAAAAGACAGATCCATTCAATTAAATATACCATGTAGTCAGTAGGGATGAACGGATCGTTCACAGCAACGAGCTCAACATCGTCCCTCTTGAGAGCAACCCTAGCAACCAAACGACCAATACGGCCGAACCCTGCAACACCACCATCGCAAAAACCCAGATCCAGATCAGGAATCAACTAAAACAATTAAAAAATCTAGAACGGAAAACCATAGGCCAGAACTGAGAACCGATCGATCACGTACCGTTGATTCCGATCTTAATCTTTCCACCAGCTGAAACGAACAAAACAAGCAAACGCAAAAAAAAAAAAAAAATCGAAACCGATCAGAGTCCATAAAATTAGGAGAAACATAAGGCGGAGAACAGAGGGAAACGGAGATTCAGCATCGGCTTACCCATTGGAAAAGTGTGAGGACGGAGATAACGAAGAAGAAGGGTCTAGAAAGGAGAAAATGGATGGAGGTTTTTTTGCGAGTATGTGAGAGACAGTGGAGAAAGGGGAGCGGTTATATATACAGATGAAAAGAGGGTTTAAGCTAAGGAGCGGAGAGCCACGTGTGAGAGAGGGTTTCTTTTTTATATGATTTGTTTATTTATTTTTGCCTTGGAGAAGAAGAAGGGATTAATAAAGGAAGCCCGCCGGATTTTTTTCTCTAATTAATTATAGGGATCAGATCGTTGTATTAGCCGCTGTTTTTTCACCGCTGATTACAGCGGAGATCAAGTTTCAAACCCACGCGCGGGTTTTCCTCATTGTACTGCACACTATGAGCTTGGGGTTGGTTGGATGACTATGAGTTGGAGAGTGGGAGTCAATCGCTAGCGTTGGAGGTGGGCACGTGAGTGCACGGAGAAAGGAATATGCTTCGGGCCGTGTAGGAGTTATTCCATGGGCTTGGTTTGTGGTTCGGCCCGAAAATGGGCTGCAAGCATTACTCTAGATCAAAGTCGGTCGGTTTTGATTTAGTCGGGGAAATAGGGAACAAAGCCGTTAACCCAAATTACACCTCTGAGTTCTAACCTAATTAAGTTACTATGATGATAAAAATAGACGTGGCTATAATCAAATGGGGCGGGGCAAATTTCTCGTTCTTGTTTAGTGTGTCTCTTTCGTCGAGTACTTCTCTTTTTTTCTTTTAACAAGTTAGTGTTCGGATCTCGTTCTATTTTTTATATTTTTTTTAATGTTAGTTTAAAGGACATATAATGTGTTTAGCTTGTTCCACAATTATAGACTTCTGCAGGTATTTCCTTAACCTAATAGTTGCTTAACACATATTGAATTGAGCCGCTTTTTAACTTTATCGGTATTTCGTAGTCTTAAATACAGGTATACAAATATTTGGTTTTTCCAAATTGATATTATTTAAGTAAGGATATCGAATATAATTTGATGTGATTTTGATTTTCAAGCTCGAGTCTTTTCATAATGTCATATAACTTATTAACTACATAAGAAAAAATAATGTTATATAACATAACCACTCGAACAGCTTAGTTCATTAAGTTTTCTTAAATAACTAACTTTGTATATTAGACAAATAATTAACTGATGGAAGTATTGGATTGGTCGTGTGTAAATAAAATACTATGTGAAATTAATATTTATTGATTTTTAGGTTGAATCTATGTAGAGTAAAATTATTCTTTTTAATTGGAATTTTCTTTCTTGATTCTTTTTATAATATAGAGTGTTATATTTTTTGTGGTTTAACATAGAGAACAATGAACAATCTAGAAAGTGTCGACATTTCTAACCACTTGAAAATTTGACGTTTGAGTTTTGCTTTTTGAGACCACCATCTTCTGTGGCTGTAAACTCTTTCATTCCCCTCCTTTGAATCTTTTGGAAAAGTAGAAGAAGAAAATTAAGAACAATTTAATCCTCTAGAAAAACATATATAATACATTCAAACTCAACCCACAGAAAGGGACCAAGTAGCTTTTCAAAGCATACACTTGCTGACTTTACTTATTTCTTATTATAAAATTGACTGATAATGTTTTTCTAAGAATTAACTGACATTTTAATTTCGGTATTAACAAATGACTTACTAAACTGTTAAACTTAATGTTAGTTGATGGTCCATCAATGCCACATCGGCAACTAACAACATAATTAATCAAGATGATTAGTCTTAGATATTCTAACACAATATTTCGACTCAATTTAGAATAAGTGATTTCGGATAAATTCATATCTACAGAACATCAAACCATTGTAGCTTTCAGACTTCATCCAAAGGAACACTTCTAGTCATTCGGCGTTGGAATTGTTGAAAATCTTTATTTTGGTCCATCGTATCATAATTTTGCACGTTCAAATAAAATACGTACTAAGAACAATCAATAAAATATCATTTCATCCAACTGGTTTGTAGTTAAGTTAAAAAGACTTCTCCATGCTAAATCCAAGGAATCAAAATAAGCGTGAATCTCAAATTAAGTCGATCCACCAACTATTCAATTGCTAATCTATCTACACTATATTTAATAGCCAAAAACAAAACTACCACCCCCATTAAAAAATTTCTACATCCATAGTGTTTTTTGAAGCAGTCTTTTTGTAATTGTGCCTCTTTTTTCTTGAGATAAATAAAATGGTTTAATCCAATAACTAATTGTACACTCGCTAGTTTGGTTGAATGAGTTTTGTTTTTATCATATATAGTAATGAGTATATTCATAATATTTGTGATAGTTGAAATATTTGATATGTGATTTAGATGTGTTCAGGAAGGAAAAGTATCGAGAGATATTAAAAAAAACAGTAAGATAGAGAAAGAGGGGTCGGGCACAAGAGGTTGGTTGGACTTAGATATTCCATATTGATTGTTTTGGGAAGATCTGTGTCATCTGTAGAGACGTTGATCCTATTTCTAATAGGTAAATCAGTTTAAAGGTCATTAATGATATGTCAGGACACATCGAGTCATGCTTGGGTGCTCTAAGCCTTTGCATCCTAATAAACTACTCTATATACAGACCAGCCTCTCCAATAAGGTTGTAACCTTTCAATCTCCAACACAAGCACCAATTTCCAACTCGAATTCACCCCAAGATGGCCCTCCAGGCTCCTAACTCCCCCGCGGCAGCAGGGGCACCTTCCTTCTAGTTCAAAGATCGCCTCCTCGAGCCTTGGACCAAGCACAAGAGGTTCAAGCGATCCGGCCAGCATCCCACCGAAGACGAGTGTCTGGGAACTTGTTGCCTCGTCATGCTTACTTGCAACACCACAATGAGGACTCCTCTTCCCCTGCGCCGTCGCCGAAGGCCACTACAAAGAAAAAGTTGCGAAAGGCAGAAGCACGTTTGCACCTTCTGTGGGAAGAGCTTTCCGAACGGTCCTGTCCGCGGCGGCACTACAACCGCAAGAAGAGCGTAGGTGAGTCTATGGCACTTTGTATGTCCTCTAAAGTGCTTACAAAAGGTTTGTGATCGCTTACAATGTTCGAGCATCAGTCCAACGAGTCAGACTGGCGTGTGGCCCTGCTATTCGTTAGATTCTTTCTCTCAAGTGAGGATAATTGTCTCATTGGTAATTTGGTATTGTCATTATGCGAGCCCTTTCGAGAATTAGGTGCCCATTGGGCCTTATTTGACTGATTGGGGTCGGGAGTGAGTAGTTGCACTTTTTCCGCAACTTGATTTATTGGACTACGGGTGGAGCCATGCTTTGGCTTATCGGGCATGACACTAAGTATACTTATTATTTGTGGACTGTGGTATTACTGGTAATTGGTTGAAATTTAGTATTTCATAGGGTAGCCAAAATCGAGTAATGAGGGTATTTATTGAGTGTCTTTTTAAATTGATGTTAGGAAGGAGTAGATACTTATTTATCTTAATGTGTATGGTTATGTGATTAAAACTTTTTTCTTTCTATTTAAATTAGTTACACATTCTTTAGCATTAATTAATCCTAAAGTAACACAATTAGAGGGAGTGAGGGACAAGAGTTGGCGTACCTACTTTAGAGCACAAAAATACGAAGTTGGAAAATGTTGAAAAACATTCGCGAATTAATAGATGCGACCGAAAGACAACGAGCGATTTTTTACCAGAGATAGGCATACATATGGTGGATGAGAGTAAGAACGGAAAATAATGAACGACAATACAAGCTCTTTGTAGGATTCAGCTTATCAGACTAATTATTTGTCAATCACTAGTGATCGAACTCTATAGAGTTCAACCTCTTTGCATGTGTTGTGAACTTAGCAGGATTAAGAGTTCAGGACTAGATTGTAAGAGGTAGATTCGATGAGATTATTGAGGTAATCACTAATCTAGAGATTGTTTGGACTGATACAATAATTTTTTTATTAGAATTCTAGAATTCGGTAGACGATAAGCTTTTGGCGGAAGGGAACAAAGGATTGACGGTAGATGGATATAAAAAAATTGGAAGATGATGAGAAACAGTAAGATCATGGAATGGAATACTAGGATGCCGTTTGGAAAAACTTAGGTGTTCAGGCAGGAGGGGCATAAGTGTTTTTTTTTTTCTTTTTTAAATAAAATTTAAAATGCACAGTGACTTTAGACAATTTTATCATTTTATGTATAAGATAGGTAACAAAATTTTCAAATAGGCTATTGAAATTTTTTTTTTTTTTTTGGTAGAAGAAATTTATTATTTTATTCTTGATACCTGACATCACTAATTGCCACAAACCCACGCTCCCAAACTTAGAAGAGGATACAATAACCACAAATAATGATATATCTTGAGAATAATTGTCTCACAACAATTAAAGTCAATTGACAAGTAGTGCCACCAAACAGATTCGCATGTCTCGACACTAAAAAATCTGTTGAGAAATATTCAACTAGTTAATGATATGATCTTTAAGGAGGCATAACATATTAACATTATATACTTCTTATGTTTTGTGGCAGAATCGTAAACCAAAACGAATGGGGCTAAATAAAATATACGTGAGGAATTTGAATCGTGACATTGAGTAGGAAGATAAGAGCCTTACTAATTAATATACTTTTGAAATTTATTACAAATTTTACATATATATATATATATATATTTATGAGTAATGTCTATTTTTTATCCAAACTTTTTTCATATTCTTTTATATTATTCAAACCTATTTAAATACTGACTTGACAACATGATACTAGCTTGAAACAGACACACGAAGGTCAACATTCCAAAATTTTAGTATTTTGTCTAGGAAAATAGTTGCAAAATTATTAATGATACAGTAAAAATGGATAATATTTTGATGCACTATGAAAGATTTGGCTAATTAATAAAATTTTAACAGATTTGAAAAATATAAAAAAATCTAAAATTTTTTTTGAATAAAAATATACATTACCCTATCTTTATATACTTTTGAAAGTTTGAAACGAGCTATAGTCCCCTAACACAACGTGACTCTGAATTCTGAATTCTGATGCCCTAATATTTAGTTATTTCATTTTTTCCCCAAAATTGTAAAGGTTGAGAATAATATAAAAAGTCCCCCACCAATAAAAAATATACATTTAGTGGTGTACCTAATGAGAATATATATGATATACAAGTGGAATGGGAGGGGAGAGGGTGTGCAGGCATGACTTGTGGTTGCAGATGCAGATCCCCATCAATCATGCTGCTCTTTATTGATAAAAATATGCTAAGGAGTAAGGCCAGCCCACCTATATACCTCATAAATGAGAAATACAAAATAAAATAGGCAAAATACACTTGTATAGTCAAAACTTTGACGGTTTGGCCAAATATAGTCACTTTTGACGAAATACCAAAAATAGCCACTTCCGTCCAATTGTTTGACGGTGTTAGTTAACGTGCTGACTGTACTAACGGAAAAGCTGACATGTCAATGTTTTTGTCAATAAAAATATGAGGTGGAATTAACCGTAAAAATAAAAATAATTTTTTTTATATTCTCTCTCTCCCTCAAGGTTCTGTCTCCTTTCGTTCCGTTCCCCAACCGGCGCTCGCTCTCCCTCTCTCCACCGAAAATCTCTCTCTCCGCGACTACCCCTCCACGCCGACGCATCTTTCCTCGCGACTATCCCAAGTCAATCAATTTCGGCAACAACAAACCGATGAAGGAGAGTAGATGGTGCTCCGGTCGTCTTCCCCGACGGAATTTCCCTGCATCAAGAGTGCGAACAGATCTGGAAATCTTCAATCTTATTCCTTACGTTGTGGGTGATTGTGAAATCGACAGCGGTGGCGAGACTCCTCTTCCACCACTCGAGCACCAGATCGAGAATCCGATAGCCGCAGAGGAGGAGCCGGTGGTTCAGGAGGCGGAGGAGACGACGACTTCGACGGTGTCGACGACGGCTTCGCTGACAGGTGGTCAAAGTTTGGAGTGGAGTCGCACATGGAATTGGGCTTGGTTTGATTCCCTAGCTTTCTCCATTTCCATCTTTTCGGCTTTTCCCTCCTGGTGCTAGTGTAAGGGTGTTAGGGTTTTCGAATTGGGAAGTTCGGCAGTACAGAATTGGAGGCGATTTTGGGAAAGTGAGAAAGAGAGATGAGTTAGTTGTGGTGGTGGCGATTTTGGGAATTTGCTGCCCACAGGAGGAACGGAGAGGACGAGAAGGGGATCCGCGGCGGACTCGGTGGGCGGGTGGGTTGACTGTTGCCGCCGGATCTGGGGAAGACGATGGAGCTGGGAAGATGGGTCTTGCGAAGTAGGAATATGAGGGTAAAAAAATTATTTTTTTTAATTTATTATGTGTAAATATTAATAATTGAAATATCTGACGTGTCGCTTATTTGGCAATAACATGTCCGCTGAGTTGGTGCCTAGTCAGCGAACCGTCAAATAAGTTGACAGTGTTAATAACACCGTTAAAGTTTGTAACGGAAATGGCTATATTCGTCATGAAACTTTGAAAATTCTAGCTATTATTGGTATTTCTCCAAAAGTGGCTATTATTGTCACAAACGTCAAAATTTTGGCTACTCAAGTGTAGTTTGCCAAGAAAATATAACTAAAGATAGGCATAGTAGTTAGTTATAGTATACAAGATACATATGGAAGAGGTCAATCAAGAAGGGCAGGGATCCATACTATGTCCTACCGGAAGTTTTTTTGTCATTTGCCTGCTGGATTTAGAAAATGAGTGATTAAAATTTAGGTTTTGAAATTTTTTGAGTTTATAATGGATTTGGTTAATTATGAATTTGAAACAAATTGTTGTTTGCTTGTTGGATTTGATGAATTAGATTTGTAGTATGAAACATAATTTACCTAGTTGTCCTTATTTCTCTATTGTTATTTGTTTTTATATAAAACAATCTCGAATGACAAATTGAACATGATTCTTAATCAAGGTAGACTCATTTTAATCTTATCCCAACTTGGTAAGAAAAATGATAGAGTGAAATAGTGAATTAAGTATTATTTAATGAAAATAAAGATTTGAAACATCATGTTACGATTTTACTAATACACAAGCTCTTAGATTTCAACTATCTCTAATAATTTTTTGGTTTACTTTAATCAGAAAAGTTGTAAGAAGTAAGAACACAAATTTACTATGGTAAAAGACAAAAAAGAAAAGAAAAAAAAAGCCTATCTAAAAACTGGTGCGCCCATCCCAATCGAGGAAAAGCCCAAAAGGAAAGAAACGCGGAAGCCCAAATACACAGAGCCCGCGAAGTACGGAAAAAAATAAACTGGCTTCGCCCGGGTTCGAACCGGAGACCTTCAGTGTGTTAGACTGACGTGATAACCAACTACACCACGAAACCGCTCGATGTTCAATTGAGTTTTAAATATAAACTAATGAAACGAATTTTTGGTCTTCTACGGTCTTGGCGGCCGAACAACGCGAACTCTCTCCCGCCGCGTTACGACTCTCGAATTTCAGTTCTTCTCCCCCCAAGTCCCAAAACCCTCCCTTCTTTTCCGGAGTCCGTTTCAAACTCCTACCAAAAGAAAATCAGAACTTTCCTTTTCTCCTCCGCAGACGTTTCTTCTTCCTTTGATTTCAATCTCCTCCTCGCTCCTCTCTCTCTCAGCAACTCCAGAGTAGTAACAATGGCTACCACATCAAGATGGATTCGGCCCGAGGTATTACTATTCGCTCTCTCGTCAATTCCACAGACTTGTTTTACCTCCCTTCCGATTTTGATCTGTATGGCTGCTAAGAAAACTGATTTCTGAAAACAACGGAGGGTGTTTCGTTTCTTCTTTTAGGTTTTCCCTCTGTTTGCTACCATTGGCGTGGCGGTAGGGATCTGCGGGATGCAGCTTGTCAGGAACATAACCGGAAATCCTGAAGTCAGGTTTGTATGATCTAGATAAACCCTAAAACCCTGTAACAAAGTTCCAGGATTTCTTCCTCTCGCGGTTTCGTGTGGGTTTTTGTGTGATTGGAATCGCCATTCATCTTTCGATTAGGGTGACGAAGGAGAACAGGGCGGCTGGGATTCTCGACAACCACGAAGAAGGCGAGAAGTACAAAGAACATGCGTTGAGGAAGTTCGTTCGCACTAAGCGCCCAGAAGTCATGCCGGGCATCAATGGCTTCTTCTCTGATCCTCGCTGAGAACCTCCCCAAACCAGTTAGGGTTTCTTTCTTTTTTTCATTGCACATTGATGATTCGGTAGTGGTTGGATGAATAAGGCATTGTTCCGATTGTTTTGCAGCTTTGATTGATGCTGCAATGTAACTGTTACAGAATTGATTGGCGGGAGATTTGACCCTCTGAAATTAGATTACATTTTTACATGCTCTTCTGAATCTGCTTACGACTTTGCAATAGTCTCTAGCTTAGCTAACAAGGAGCAGAGTTTGTTCTCCTATGCTGGGGTTATGCTCGAACATTGGCTTTGTGTTGTATCGATACGATTAAATCAACGGGATCTGTTGCATGTTTAGTGTTCTCCTAGCTGGGTTCTCCTGCATGCTGTTCTACAATCTTTATGCAGGCATTACTCTTTCGATTTAGGGTCTGCCCTGCGAATCGTTACACAACTGTACTTTACGACGACATTGTCTTAGAAACTCAACGACTGGATTGGAAAAAGATGAGCACTCTGCCTTTGAGCAGAGCTGTAATGGTTGTACAGAAGCAGAATGAGAGCTTTCGTGTTTAATGGCTTTACTTGCTTGAATGACATTCTTCACTGCTGCTTTGTTGTGTCAATGGGAAGCTGTGGGATGAATCAGGACACTATAATTCTCTCCTTAGTATTCAGAAGGAAATCCGAAATCCCTCCACATTTTCTAGGGGCTGCAACTTCAAGCTCTTCCACGTTATATTTCACACGGTTGATTTAATGTAGTACTTGGTAATTCCGTGATTGATGTTAACAAAGTGGTATATTATTGCCTCAATTAGCATAGTAGTGTATAGTTCGGATCAATTTATGGTATTACCCAAAAAAAATAAAATAATAGATCCCTATGTGTACTTACAAGGGATTGAGCTCACTTGAGATGATGTAATAGTATTTTGCTACTGTACTAAAACTCACTTTAGTTATTTGATGGCAAAATACACTTGGGTAGCCAAAACTTTGACGGTTTTGCCAAATATAGCCACTTTTGGCGAAATACCAAAAATAGCCACTTCCGTCCAATTCTTTGACGGTGTTAGTAAACGTGCTGACTGGACTAACGGAAAGACTGACGTGGCAACAATTTCGTAAGTAACAATGACAGGTGGAAAACCATCATAATTTTATCTTTTTACTTTAATTAACTTAAATAAAACAAAATTACAAAAAAGAAACATAGAACAATAATATCTCTTCCCTCACCCTTCCGCAGTTCCGCTACCTCTGCTTCTCGTCCATCTTCTCCTCCCCACTCCACCTCCATGTCTCCACCACTGATCCTAAAACCACTTTTCTTTTCTCACTACACAAAATAGAGGAGAAGCTTTGAATATGATGTCCAACGCTCCTGGTCCATAAGAAATTGTATCCCAGATTCGGATTTGAAAACCCCCCAAATTCAAGAACCCTAGTTCTTCCTCCCAAATTCATTAGATTCTTGAATTCGGGCCTGGGGGTGGTGATGCTGATCGTTGACGACAATAGGAGGGATTTGGTACCGGTGGTAGCCGACGGGGAGCACTGGAAACGGCCGGCGTGAGCTCGTCAGCGTGAGTTGATGCAGAGGCACGACCCGCCGCTGTGAGTCGATTGCTCCTTTGCTTTTTCCCAGCCGTTGTGTCGATTCCTTCTCCGTCTTCTTCTTCCTGACTAAAATCGATCGCCTTCCACAACCCTTCTTCATCCCTCTCACTGTCTCTCTATTCCGAAACCCCAGCAGGGTCAACTGAGAAGTTTCCGGCTCGGAGGACTCTGAAGCGGATTGTTGGGTTCTGAATCGGAGAACAGAGGTGGGGGATGCGAGGTTGTTGTTGTGTGATTCGTCGCCGGAGTTGTACCCTGAAGTCGAGCTAACTTTAACCTCCGGCCTATTGATCTCCACTTCTTCATCTTTCTCACGCGGATTGACGAAATTCGTCTGTGCGTCCGGTCCCTGGAGCTTAATCGCGACGTTGTCATAGACCATCGCCGCCTCCTCCGCGGTATCGTAGGTTCCCAGCCAGAGCCGAACCCTCTTCGCCGGATCCCGAATCTCGGCAGCCCATTTACCCCACGGCCGCCTCCTCACTCCTCTGAACTTCCTCTCACCAGACTGAACCGCCGCCGCTGCAGCTGCCGCAGGCAGCACTTCCCTCGCCGGCTTCCCAATCTCCGAAGAAACCGGCGGCAGGGTCAGAGGCTATGGAGATGAGAAGTGGGGGTTCTCTTGGACGATTGAGGTGACGTTTCGGCTGCCGGATTGACGGATCTCGGAGGCGGTTCCGGGGAAGCTTTGATTGTTGGAGATTCCTCATCGTTGAAGCCGCTTGATCTGGATTAGGGATTGATGGGAGAGAATTTGGGGAGGAAGGTGAAAGAAAGAATTGAGAAGAAAGGGGTCTTCTGCGGGCGGCGGCAGAGAGAAGAGAGGGACAGATAAAAAAATGTATTTATTTATTATTTATTTAGTTATTTTTAATTTTCACAAATAAAAAAATTTAGTTCAGGTAAAAAAAGACTATTTGGGAAAAAAAAATTATCCACCTAGAATTATTAAAAGATAAAATAAAATGACGTGGCAATGATATCGATGACTTGTCGCTGACGTGTGTGATGATTTGGCATCCTAGTCAGCCTGACGTTAACTTAACTGACGGAGTTTCTAACACCGTTAAAGTTTGTAACGGAAATGGCTATATTTGTCATTAAACTTTCAAAATTCTGGCTATTATTGGTATTTTCCCAAAAATGGCTATTATTGTCACAAACGTCAAAGTTTTGGCTACACAAATGAATTTGGCCTTATTTGATTGATAAAAAGTTAATTTCTTATACTATAAATGAAATTCCCAATTGGATTATCTCTAATTGCATTATCCCCAATTGGATTATCTCCGAACTCTCCCTTTCTTAGTCAACTGGTCTTTACGTGATTTTAATTATATTATATCTTGAAAAGAGGGCAAGTCTAGTTTTGAAAATTTTACCAGCATTACTTAGGATTAGCTTGCGAATTTGTGGCACCGTAGTAGAATCATTACCAATGGCATGCTGTGCGCCTAAGTGCGAAAAGACAGTGCAAGTTTTGATGTGCGGAAACCTAAATGTATATAGCAACATCAAAGGTGGCACTCTGGATCAAGTTTGTCAGCCTACGGGTCGTCACGGTTGACCACCTTTGACCCTGATCCGGTTAAAAAATGGGTCACACACCCACATGTCGATTGCTGCAGGGTTACCGTGTTGGAGGTCACACAACATCGTTCTTCCCTTTGGTTTGCGAAACACGTTTTTTTTTGGATTTTCTCTTCCCTAACCCTATCTTAGAAATTCTACTTTCAACATTTGAATATTGTTGTTATATAAGTGTTTGAATTTTCAATATATGTTGGATCCAAATACGACCTGTTATTTACTTATTATTCTATAATGTTATATGTTAGGACTTTGCTACGGTGACATGCATGTCACGGTGAAATGCGATTTTCGGTCGACCTCATATAGGATTAGGTCGACCTAATATGTTGTTTCGGTGTAAAAACAGTTTCATGGTGCCTACTTTGGAGATTCATATCTTACAATTGGCTAGATGGAAATTGGAGATTAATGGCTTGTTTTGAAGCTCAAGTGTCCCTCTACACATTAAAGTACTTGGGAGCTCAATAGAAAGTCCAGAAAACCATTTTTGAACCTGATCAAAAAGCTATCCCGAAACTGGGAAACTGCCTAAAAGTCTGGGAACGTGTTTGTGAAGCCTACTTTGGAGCTCAATTTGAGAAGCATGGATGCGAGTTAAGTCCAGGGGCCTCTACCACGTTAAATTACGTATTTTTTTCTACAAAGGAAAGACATTGGATGAAATATTGAATATCTTTAAGGCTTCAAACAAAAGGCTCGAAGTTGCTACGAAGGCCGTTTATGGTAATTGCTTAGGTTTTTTTTATTAACTTATAAATCTGTTGGAATTTAAATTATTGTTGTTTGTGAGAGACGGCTAATGAACGTTCCATAAAAACTTTTGGTTGAAGTGCTTGCTAATTTGGAACATGGTGCAATCTCATTCAACCCAAAAGAGTAGTTTGAGTATAGTGTAGATAGTTTATGGCAAATACAAAGCAAAACACACATTATCATTGTGAATGACACGTACATACAAATTATATAATCATCAAACTCTCCCTGCCAATAGGTCGGGCATTGTGCTAGTAATATATGGTAGAGTTTTGAGTACTTTTCTTCATTTCAAATTTCCTGCAACGAGAGTGGAAGTAGGAAGGAAATTTTTGTCTTTACAATTAATTATTTATCTCACATAAAAAATATCAATATCAGGATTTGAACTCGGGTTTCTTCAAACAATCATAACCATTTACACTAAACAAATTTGTTGTATCTTTTTGAATACAAAATATACACGAAGTTCAACTCTCTGAAAATCGGAGGACTTATCCATCATGATTAGCAAGCCCACTAAGTCTACCGTATGTATTTTTATGGTGCTTGATACTTCAATTTTCATAGTAGAGTTTCATGTAACTTTCCCAATTTTAAAATGCTTTCTCTCTTCTTAATTTTCGCAAAAGGTAAATTGATAATTGGCTAACATGGAAAATACTATTTTTTTTATCACGTGTTGTGTCATTGCATTTTTCAATTTAAATTTTGTGCTTTTTATCTTTGTTTTTATCTCTTTCTAACTTCCTCGGAAATTCCCTCCATCATACAATAGTTTGCGCCCATTTCACTTCCCAGTCGAAGGCCGCCTTTGAAAATCAATCATTCGATATCTCTTGGCACGACAATTTTATTGTTGGAGATTTAAGTTAGGCAAGTAAAAGAGTAATAAATAATGGAGTTGCAGAAGGATTATAAATTGAATTTTTGGTTGTAACATATGTATCTTGAGATAAAAAATTTGGTTGTACTATGGAGAGTGGTGGCCATTGAATCTTTATGTTTATGGTTTTTGCATCTATCATAACCTATTTCTATCTTAAAGCGAGGAATTGTTGATTGATTTACCGAAGTAGGTCGATTCTTTATTCAACCTACTGGAACTGATAGATAAGGAGTGTCTAATTTTGTACCGTATTATTTTGATTGAGTATATTATTATGTTGGAGGTCATCCTAATTTTGTCGTTTGCTCTCAAGTTTTGATGATCCCCTCTTAACTAAGTTGTTAGTATATAGTTGACTTGAATCAACAACTCTCCATTTCTTTTTGATTACTGGCATATTGTTCCTAAAAGGAGAGTAGTGAACCCTTATGTAGGATTGTGAAGTTTAAGATTTAGTTTCAAACTATCTATGGGTCGTGTGAAATTTCACTGAGCTTTTATGCTCTCTTTCTTGACAATCAACTAACCAATAGCATTTTAACGGGGGCTTAATTATCATTATGATGAAAATGAGATTAATGATACATTTTATATTCTTAATTGATGACGGTATTTCTCCGAATGTTCGACCAATAATTTTTTTTCTTTATGTATCATCTCGATCGAAGAATTGTCAATAAAATTAAAAAGGTTGATTGACTTAAGAGTATCATAAAAACATAAATAATCAAATATGAATATTCCGGCCAATGAGCTAGGTTATAA